GTCAGTAGATCAGGATCTGTGGGTCAATCTCAAGGTGTATTGCTTTGCTTGCTTGGTTTGTTTATGGTTCCAACTAACAATTATTTAACAATAGCAACAACAAGGTTGGATTTCCCCCTAAATTAGGTTGCTGAAATCAGGAAAGTTTAGGGGAAAGTCAGGTTTGGATGTGTGTGTGTGTAAGAATAGGAGTTTGACGCTGGTACTTAAAGTTCCCAGGCTGCTGCTTTGCCTAAAATTTATGTCCTTTTTTTTTCTGCTGCTGCCACCAGCCACTATTTCACTCTAGACCCCATACTTCATATTTTCACTAGCCTGCTGCTGCCACCAGCCACTATTTCAGTCCAGTAGACCTCAGGATTACAGTTTTTAAGAACCCCAGTGGATCAGCAGGCTTGAAGCATGTCCCTTTTGTGTTCTTCTGTATCCTGCTGCTCGTCTCTGTGTCAGTTCACAGAGGTGAGTGGTAAGATATCAACAGGTCCGCTGCTGTTTGAGCCAAGTGCTCAGCTTACAGCAGGAAAGAGTCCGACCCTCGCCTGGTATCCCCCCTGGCACAGAGTGAGGAGCCTTGCTTTGTACCATTCAGTTGCTTCCAATTTGCAGTGACCATAACCGTTAGCGTCTTATCATTGGGAGCCCTGCTCAGGAGCCAGCTGTCCTGCAGCTATTGCTAGATAACAGTCCCCATCATCCCTTTAACCTTTGCCATTCTGGCTAGGACTGATGGGGGGTGGAGTCTTAACAACCTGTGAAGCACAATCGGTTACCCACCTCTGACCTGCTATATGCGCTGTGATGTGACTCTTGGGAAGGCTTTTGGATCAGGTGAACCTGGGTGGGATCTTGTGCTTTTGTGAAGAAGTGAAGAATCTAGACCCCATACTTCATATTTTCACTAGAAAAATAAACAATTTCAGTGTAATTTAATGGGTTTGGAGCATGCCTTAAAATATGCTCCAAACTCTTACCCAGACATGCAAGGGGCTTTATAGCCGGAAAGTTGATCTAGAAGAAGATTGCTCTGAAGGTGCAGACAGCCTATAAAAGGGAGCACCCCTGCCCCTTAAAAACTTTCCACACTGATGAATTTTGCTAAATTATTTTGGAGGGAGGGGAAGCAGCCCCAGTTTTCAGCACTGTGGCCCAAGGTAAATAACAGGTCACAGTGCATTGAGCAAAGGATGCAACTGCGTTAAAGTACAAGGTAGAGGGAGCTGTTGGAGAGCTCAGTGGCTTAGATACCTGGTTGCAAAGCCAGTCCAGGATCCATAGGATCCCTTCCAGCTCTTTTAGATACCTGGAGTTCGAATCCCCCTGGAAGACCTCCCTGACAGGGGCTGGACTCCAGGATCCATAGGATCCCTTCCAGCTCTCTGCCATTCTAAGGTCTAAGATCTGGTTTCATTGAAGAGAGATTACTGACATCTCAGAATTCAGGAAACTGCTAGATTAAGGGGGTGGGATGTTGCAAAAAAAAAAAAAACAACCAAAAAACTAATTTACAAGTGAGGGCAAGCAAGTGTAACAGCCTTCACCAGTGGGACTAATCACATGCTTATAGGTCCCACTTGAAACATGGACGAGATATTCAGGGAACCAGCCTGGCGTTCAACGTCTGTGCCAAAACGAGAATGATACTTCTTGGGTTCATTTTGCTCCTCTGTTTAAAAATAAATATCTGTTCTTCTAGCACAGCGTCAGGTAGAGTTGCCAGACAGGTCTGATTTCAGAGCATTTCTCCTCTCGGGAGACAAGGCAAACAGCCAAGTGACTCCCCCAGGTCCTTAAAAGAACATAGACTCACAGCCCCCCCCCATAGTAAATTCCACAGCGCTTCTAGATCCATGGGCTGGAATGTTCTTTTGGGAACACTCTGTACACCTTTTAATATGGTTTTCTCTCCCCCCCCCCTTATTTATCCTCCTCGGTCCAAAACAGAGTGTTCCTTGATCAACACAATCTGCTAGGTAGATTCTGTGCTTTATTGAAGCCCAGCTTGTTCGTAAATTGTTACGAAGGGTCATTCGAGTTTATGAGCCTCTGTTCCTTCCTTGCACATACATGTTGAAAATGAGCTAAGAAACAAAAGGGCAGGTCTGTAGGTGGGTGAAAATAAATTTAGCCTGGTCAGTCGTTTGTGTTGGAGGATTGTCCTTGGAGTAGGTAAGTTGACTCATAAAAGTGCGGATTTGGTGGTATCTCTTAGTGGTTCTCCATGACCTTTTTGAAGTACAGTACTTAATGTAGTACAGTACTAATAGCCAGTCTTTCAGGTCTACTATTATGCCTCAACATTGTTACATTTTTAAGCCATTTCTCTATTCCATGTTTGATAGGATATGACCAGCTGATTGTTTAAGGAACATATTAACACCAACAGATTATCATGGTACTTTGTGTTTACTGGGCAGAGGGAAATTCAGTTCTACCATATGGATATTTTGTTTTAATTCTTGTCACTTTTTGTATATTTTAAGCCCTTTTAAATCTTTTTAAAGAAAAATAATTGAATTAGTAATGATACTTCATTTGTTCCTTGTTTTCCCATCGTTTTCCATCACCTTAATTTTTTAACTACTGCTCTCTTGAAAAAAAGCAGCATATGTATCTCCATAATATATTTTGATTGGTAGAGATAGGGTCAGCTCCCTTTAGAAGTATCCACAGGGAGAAGGTTACATAATTTTTAGTCTGTAATACGGATGTGCCCATTTGATTAATGACACTATTGGTTTTGCTTCACACTTTTTAAATATACCAATAGGACCTCTGAACATCCAGATATGCTCAATAGCTTCTGGCAATACTGTTTGTGTCATCCAGAACTATAGGAGAAAAACTGGGAGTCAAAATGGCTAAAAGTCAGGGCTCATGGTTGCTTGAAATACGTATTAGACACCAGTCTGGGCCTGTACTGGTCTTTCATGGGGTGGGGGGTCGGGGGGGGAAGAGAAGGCACTGGCCAAGGAAGGATGGCTGATTATGATTATTCCAAAAAAATGGGATAGAAAGACCATTATTAAGGCATCCTATGAGGCCTTAATATGATTAAGGCTGAGAGGAGAGAGAACTCTAATTGCTGGGGTGGGACATTTTTGGGCAAGCCTTCATCGGGAAGTCGGAAGCCCCAAACATCTGGAACGTTCTTGGGTTGGCTCATGCTTTTTATTTTTATCTTGATGTTTAAGCCCAGTTCTGTAGCACTTTGGAGAAAGCAGTGGCCCATAAATACAGGAAAGGTAGTGGCCAGTCTTAAGCAAGATGCCCTTTTCAACCCTCAATCTACAAGGTGGGGACTAGTCAGCCGCACCGCGCCTCCCTTGCAGGGGTGCTGTCACACTAGCCTGGATGTGGCCCTTCGAACTTTAGAACTGAGGATAGTGCTGGCGGCTTGGGGTGGGG